CTAAAGGGCCAAGTAAATATTTAGTCAAATAAAGTAATTTTGGGTTCCTTAAATGTAAGGCTATTTACGTATTTATTTATGCTTAATTCCACATTGAAGTAAACAGATGGCAGACCCCCTGTCATAATATCACGTGAGAGAGAAACAGATGCATGGAACACTTTTTAAACACAATAACCCCCCCTACATTAATCATTGATTCCTCTGATTAAAATTGCATATACCTTTCAGTGATAAAGGAAAGATGAATATGAAGTTCTATGAAAGTTCACGGAAATAAAATACTGAAATTACTCTAGAGGTTGCATCAGAACCTCTTAAAACATTCTCTGCAATCATGAAGGGAGTAAGGCATTCAGGGATGAAAATACAGGAATCCAAGGCATGCACATTTTCCTTGTAATGATTTCAGATTTTGTGTTTGAGTTCATTGCTTAACAGCAGCAACAAGGAAATTGTCTAAAYGAGCAGTGACTCCTTGAACCATTATACAGCTCCAGTGTATGAAAACAGTAAAGTGTTCTCCTCTACTCTTCAAAAAAAACCCCAGTATTTTCAAAATTTACTTGAATAATCTGGAAAAAAGATTGAATTCATGTACTCTCATTTCTTCTAAAACAATCAAGAAAATTAAGAAAATAGTTAAAGCAGCTGACACCTAAAATTATGTGAGATCTGTTATCTTCACTTATGGTAGTTTAAAAAGTATTGTAGATTCAGTGGCCCCAAGATATTTAACACCTAATTCCTATTGACCTGTAAAAGCCTGTAGCCTTTGATTCTGACAACACTGCAGAAGTAAATCTGGGCTTTGGAGCAGTGCTGGGATTGCAAGGGTRAATCTCAAACAGCCCTGACACTTGCAGTGCTTTGGCAGAACATGTTTTATCTGCCATATGGACAGGTTAAGTATTCAGCTAGTCTGTCCATGCAATGATGATGGAAAAAAGCCCCCAACAAACTAGTTGGGTACTTCCACACAGAGCCCCAATGCCACTTCCTCTACAAGAAATGACATCTGGCACCAGCTCCTGATGCCTGAGAACAGACATCCAAGGGCAGAATGGATGTCATACACCCTTAAACAGCTCAGTATTTCTGACATAGGACTGTTTAGGGCAGAGCAGACACAATAAAAAGTACTTACCGGCTTCTTTATGTCATCTTAAAGATAGATTCACTTTAAATTCATGAAAACTTAATTCCTGCCTTGCCCTCCACCCACCAACGTGCCCGTGACCACAGGCCAAACCAACCACATATCTGACTACTCCATCTCCTCCCCTGTAGTTCACCCCAGCTAACTCAGGTGGGTTTGTGCTCATCTGGTTTCTTAAATTAGACACTGTGATGGAAATGTATCTCTCATTGCCCTGCATTCCCTTAATTTACCTAAACCTAAGTTAGGCTCTGTCAGCTTTGAAAACAAGACATTGGTTCCCAGGTCCCAAGAGTACTTTACTATCCCAGATGTTTCCACTGATGCATGTGTTGRATGACAGAGACATGAAATTCAAGAAAAAGAAGCTCTCAGTGTGTTCAAGGGAAATATGAGACCAAGCAGTACATTTTGAAGTGTGTTTTCAATACGTTTCAATGTGTATTTAGGTTTGCTTTATCTGCAGCACTGTATTTAGGTTTGCTTTATCTGTCCTTATAAATTGCCATTGTTTTCTTTTATGAGAAATGTCACCTGGAATTGTCTTCCTGAACAAAGTGGGTTGAAATGCCTGTTTGTTTCTTTCAGGGTGAGGGTTGATAATCTTCCAAGGACACACCAATCTTTTAAGTAACTACACACATATGGGACCAAAGATAAACTCTTGATCCCAAGAGACATAAATAAGTCATAAAAAAAAGCAAATAATTTCACAAGCTTTTGTATTTCCTCTTTGGTATTCCCTGCTGTGGTATCTCTTAGTTAAACTAAGAGCTTGCCTTAACTTAGGAACCTTTTAAGTACTGACACATGCAGGCAAACCCTAAGGGCAGGATTCCCAGGCTGATATCCACAGCCTGGCAGCACTCTGCAGCTTACTGAAAGTYTTCCAGGGACAAATGCCATATCATGAATGTGTGGCACAATATGACCAGCAGTCACGTTTATCCCATTGAAAACAGTGAAGGTCCCCATGATCAAACCATGGATATCCTGATGCTTAAAAACAGGAATGGGACTGTGGCAGAAGAGAAGGTGGCCTAACACRGTAGTTTGGTACAGATGAGAAAAGGGATGAATGCAAAAGGATACAAACTAGGATTAAAAGAATTGTTATTTGTGTTTTTGGTTTTTTTTTTACTATAAAACTCCTAAAATCAGCACTATGGATAAAATCCGTGACTCTGATTGATTTGTTTCTCTGTTGTCCATGAGACAAAGATACGTGGATCACTCAGAGAGACATTTTCCTGGCATTATGATTCATGGTAGTTGAGAACATAAAGAAGGCAAAGATTAAGTCAGAGATGGAGCAGAGGAATTGACTGAGGCAACATAAATGCTCATTAATGCTCCAGCTGCTTAAGAAAATGCACAGTGTCTTGGGAAAAAATAATGGCAATTTATAATTACAACACTACTAGGCACTGGAAAACAGCATCAGGTTTCAATACACATTGAAACTTACCTRAGAATTGCCTTCAGTGTCCCCTATTGTCCTGATCTTTGAAGGACAAAGGCTCTTTAGTTCTAATGTGACAGTTCCTGACAAATTAGCAGACTTCAAAGCCTAAAATCAGAGGTCTAATGGCAGATATTAATTAAAAATATTCACAGTTTTAAGGCTTTAAAGAAATAATTCCTATTTTAATGAAAAGGACAACAGTTTCAGAAAAGAACAAACTCCTTTTCGTCTTCTAAAATTTGAGGTGATTCTGAAGCCACGTTTCTCAAAAAAAAAAGCTGCTTCCTACAACTTAGCCTATATTAAGAACCTGAAAGCCCAGATAATTAATTTCAGAGATATGTGAGAACCAATGAACAGCATTAAAAAGTCAACTATATATATGAAAGACTTGCCACCAATTATATTATTCTGAGGTACCAAAGCCATCTTTGAGGTATCATCCTGAGGTCCAAACAATATGAAAATGTTAACTGAGACACCCTCTTTCCTTTACACAAATAATCTAGGTGACAGAATAACTGGCCCACCCCTGTACATGCTGTCTGCAAAGGATGTACTGCTTTCAAAGACCAAGTACTGGAGATCTTAAAAGAGATCTGATAGGAACTTGATGTCCATGTTATTAGATGGTCTGACAATGGGTGATTCACTTAACTCTTTAGAACACCTGCATTTAATTTTTCTCACTTCAGACACCGCTTGACTACACTTGTTTGCCTCACTCCCTATGCTCTGAGTTCAGTGTATTGCATTATACTTCACTGTGCAACTCTTTTTTTTAGCCTGAAGATAAAACAACCTGATGACTGATGAGGTAGCACTTCACAAGGCCACATTTTCTACAAATATTTATTCAAAATGTCCCAATTGTCCATTATTGGTACTCAGGAAGATCTRAAACATCATAATGAATTCCTGTTTCATTCATGTACTCTAACTGTCACCTTAATTTCCACAGAAATGCTACTGGAATGCATGATACTGTAAATACTGGTATCATATTGTCACTTCTTTCTTTAAAATCTTTTAAAATGTCAGACTACACWGAGTAATATATTCAAACAGGTTGTTATATCTGAGCTTTTGACAGAGAAATCTTAGACAGCCTGTTCGAACACACTGCAGAAACTACACCTGAGCTAACTTTCCCYATTAAAACAGCTCCAAAAGCTTTCCATTAACAAATTAACAGCCTTCTTTAAAGCTGAATCTAATTATAACATGAGCATGAAGAAAACATTAATTTAGGTCAGTTCCAATGACTGTTGCTATTTCTTGTCATATCAGAACAATGTCTCAACTATAGTGTTGAATTTAATTACTGAAGTTTGATGTTTAAATATGTTTTAATTAGGACTGTGACTGAATTCTAGTGTKAAATGATCTAATTTCCAGTACTAAACTGTTGCATACATCATGCATTTTCACATCTTGACACGGCCTCCACAATTCTGTAATTGCATTTATGTATTGTAACTATTAACTTTCTACCACCTTGCCAATGGTGCATACCATGTCGGGGTAAGAAAAGGTGGGAATGATAACTGATTTAAATAAGAAGCAGGACAAATTCAAAATATTTTAAATGAGCACATGAAAAGAAACACAGCTCTCAGAATCTGAACTCCTAGGGTACAGCAGCCTTATAAAGTTGCCTACATGGTCTGAGGGAGTCAAGCAAAGAACCTCAGAGGAGTTATTTAGAGTAATCACTCTCCCGGCCCTCCCTCATTCTCCTGTGCCCCTCAAAATCGCAGCTCTCTGAGACTCTCTTCTTCCTTACACATCCTGAATCGAACGGGCAACTCCTCACCGGACTCTCAAAGCTGAGAAAAGCAGGATTTGCAACTCCTGGGCGCAGTAACCGGGCCGAGAGCCGGCCCGCAGGGTGACTGAGGAGCCCCGGCCATTCCYGGCGGGAGCGGCACCGGGAAAGCCTGGGACCGGCCATCGCTCCCCGCCGCCGGCTCCTTGGGGCTGCTCCTCTGCATCCACTACTGGAAACAGGCGGCTTTTTAGATGGTAACACGGCTTTGCCACCACACGCCTCCCGCCGCCGCTCCCGCCACCCGCACACATGCGGCAGCCGCGCCGGTGCCCGGGCGCGCCCAGACCCGTCGGGAGCGCGGGGGATCCGGGTTTTTAACGGGCGGACTAAGAATCCTGCCTGGCTGTCACGGCACTGCCCCAAGTTCCTGCACGGCCCAGCCCATCCCGGACAGCCTTCGCTCGCCTTTTCCCCGGCGTCGCACAAAGAGAACCGCCGTGAGGTGGCACCGGCCGCCCGGGGACTCCCTCCCTCGCYCCCGGCCCAGCGGCCCCGCAGCGCCCGGGGCGGCTCGAGCGGGCGGGCCGCGGCCGGGCCCGACTCACCAGGCGAGGCTGCGGGCAGGTGTGTTCCAGCTCCTCCATGGTGTCGGAGGGGGATTTGGGGATGCCTGTTCCTGACTCAGCACCGGCCGCACGCACTGGCATGGCCGCCGCCCGGGCCCGCCCGGCGCGGGGGGTCTCCCCGGGAGCCGCCCGGGGGCTCGGCCGCTCGCGTCGCCACGGCAACCGGCGGGCCCCGCCCCGCTCCGCGCGCGAGGGGCGGGYCCATCTCATTTGCATGCGGCCTCCTGGTTGGCTGCCGCTCCGCCGCGCCACCGCGCGCTGCCCACGGCGAGTCCGCGGGCGGGCCCCGCCCCCGCGAGTCACWGGAGCCCGGAATGGGCCGGGCTGGAGGGGACCGCGGCGGGCACCGGCTCCAACCTCCCTGCTCGAGCAGCGCCATCCCAGAGCACACGGCWCACCACTGCGTCCAGAAAGTTCTTGAACATCTCCAGGGAGGGAGACTGCACAACTTCTCTGGGCAATCTGTTCCAGTGACCGGTCACCTGCACAGCGAAGTTCTTCCTCACATTCAGGTGGAACTTCCTGTGCATCAGTTGTTGCCCGTTGTCTCTTGTCCTAAGCTTGGCAACCCCGAGAAAAGCCTCCAAAAGGCTCCATCTTCTTCAGATCCCCCCCTTTAGATATTTATACACATTGATGAGGTTCCCTCTCAGTCGTCTCTTGTAATGTCTGAACAGGCCAAATTCCCTCAGCTTTTCCTTGTTAGAGAGATGCTCCAGTCCCTTAATCCCATTTGTTGCCATCCACTGGACCCACTCCAGGATCTTCATGTCTCTCGTGTATACTGAGGAGCCCAGAACTGGACACAGCACTCCAGACTCATCTCACCATGGCTGAATGAAGGGGCAAGATCACCTCTCTCGAGCTGGCAGTGCTCCTCCTAATGCACCCCAGGATCCCATTGGGCCTCTTGGCCACAAGGGCGCTGCTGGTTCCAACCCCGAACCGTGTCCCGAGCACGGCAGGCGCGGKCAGTGCCGGGAGGCAGCGCCGCACCAGGAGCCCCAACGGCCTCGGCAGCTCCCTCCCGGCGACCCCGGGTGAAGTTTGCCCGGTTCTGAGTGAGMCGAAGGCGGGGAGTGCTGACCGGACAGCTCCCGCACGCCGCACCGCGATCCCGGGACAGCGCCTGCCGAGAGCCCGCACCGCCGGGCTACCGAAGAGCGACGGTCCGCTGCCCTCTCCGGGAAGGAGCACGGTGCTGGCAGTACCAAATTCTTGGTGCTAAAGAAACCAGATTGCTTTTTAGTGAAAGAAATTAKAGCAGTTTTGGCAAAAGCGCCGTTCTATTCTGCCCAGAGATGGATACAAGGACGTGGCTGTAATGGTAGCAGCTCTCTCTATATGCAGCAAAATGCTTCTATCACAGGCAAATTCAGAGTTCCCAGGTTCTTCACACGGAATCTGGCTGACACCTGCCCAGGACCCACGACTACATCTTCAGTTGTRCTGTACAGCTGCTTCAACACATACAGCTGTAGCTTCTACACTGCTGAAGTGAAAATACCACCCCTCTTACTCTTAAATACCATGAGAATATGACCAAAATAATATAAACCCCAAACTTTTTAGAACAGAGAGGCTCCATTGGCGATCGTTAACCTTGACAGAATCAAAAAAGTGGATTGCAGTAGTACTTAGCTTCAGTGAACACTGTCAGTGTTGTTTTTAAAAATCAGACTTCATCAAAGGACAAGAGCATCTAAGTCCATCCAGACCCGTGAGGAGTAACAAGAGAATTGTRCCTCAGTGTCTTTCCCCTCGAGAGCTGAATTTCAAATGTCTTTRTCTTTTGCACATCTTCAAAGAAAACCAAGCGTAATACAAAAATGTATGAGCTATGTGAAACGGAAAGGTGTAGGTAAGTAAATAAGAGGTGATCGGAAAGAACGTAAAAAGAAAAGAAAATATTGAAAGAATGAGTCAGAAGTTAAGAAAAAAAGGAAAATACATGTCAAAAGAGGTGATTAAGCAAGAAAAACAGGGAGCCAAACTATGAATCTCAGCTGAATCTTTTCCTTATAACTAAGTTCCTTCATCAGTGATTCTGCAAGAACTACTCACACATTATGGAAAGCATACTCAAGGGAAATGATTAAAGCATGATTAATGCAGCACTTGGCCTGAAATTTGTAGCTCATTTTCTTAGGAAAAATATTTGCAGGAGTGTTATGCTGTTAGAAGAATATTTGGACAGCAGAATGAGCAGTGCTAGGACTGCAGCAGCCAAAGGTAGCAGGCAGATTTTTTATAAATCCAACCACAGATGCCAGCTCGTCAGAGACCCATGCTGGTGTTTTAAAGGAGTAGCACCAAGTATGGACATACCCAGGGTCAGTGTCCAGCTCTCACTGACTACATAGGTGCAGGAAAAAAGAGATGAAGGAGAATTGGACTTTCTTGAAGTTGGTGATCACCAATACACTGGAAATGTAAATTCCCTTTCCTTCTATTTCTTTTGAGTATGAAAGGCCAAATTTCATCTTTGCTTTCATGCTGAGAGTGTGCTATTGACTTTAGGTGCATTTTGATTCATMTTCTCTACAGATAAGGTTTTCCATATACATGTAACGTTTACAGAATGATGTCTCTCTTGTAGTATTGTTATCACCTATCTAAGCTGGGCCAGAATTTCAAAGTGGAAGTGGAATACTTTTTGTGCTGCTTATTTCATTTCCACCTCTGGTAAATACTTTATGTATTCTGTCCTTCTGTTTGAAGAGCATGATAAAAAAAATGCCTCGTACATCACTACAAAAGAGAGGAAGTTGAAATAATGGCAGAGAGAAGGATGTGGGGTCTGTCATGTCTATCCAAATGGAATTTGTCTGATTATCTTAGTCAACATATTGGATATCTTGAACAAGGTATCTTAAAATGCATCTTCTTCTTGGAGCTAAATTAGCTTTCAAAAGGCTGGAGTGTGTCTTCTTCACTCTCTAAAATAAATAAATACAAATTATGTTTGATTGGAAAAGCTCAACAGATGGTCTTCTGTGAATCCTTACAAGYCAGACAGCTTTTAAAAGAACAGTGGAGCAAGTCATGGGTGCGGAGGTTCATGCATCTAATTTCTTTTCTGTAATCACTATCCTGTGCCTGATCATGGTCTCCTGGGCAGCCTCCTGCCATTTCTTCACAAGTAACAGGGACACATTACCATGGCCTTTAATAACCAAACCCTTTGCAATAACTGCTTGGGTTGAATAGACATCTGATGCAYAAAAATCTTGTCCCATGGTGTATAAATTACAGGCAAACAAGTCAGGAAACCATTATCCCAAACCTTCTAATTTCAAGGTCTGAACTGAATAGGCACCAAACAGGAAAAAACCTCAGTTGTTAGGAAGGTTCCACCTGACACATAGAGGTTTGGGGTTTTTTTTATATAAAACTTCAGTTCTCAAACTGCAACCATTAATTCTCAAAGTATGAAAAAGATTTWAAAAATATGTTTAGATGTTACATTTAAATACTCTCAATTCTCAAACTGAAAAATTAGGATCCCTCTCTAAGCCTGATGGATCTCAAGCACCACTTAGTASAGCGGAAAATATCTAAATAGTCTTTGCCCGAGACAAATTGCAAAAGTCTTCTGACCTATAATTTAGACCTAATGAAGAGAAGCAGACCCTCACATAATTTCTGTTCAAAAGTTATCGGGAAACTATGAAAAAAAATGGTGTGGTGAAACAGCCTTTGATTTCAAAGCCAAACATCTACAAGAAAACATAATAGAATAAATTATTGAAGATTCAGCTAAARAGCTTCAATAAATTTTGCATCAATAGATATATTTTGGATACTGAAGGTTTTAAGCACAAGACTTCATAAGGTCAACTGCAAGACTTTGTAAGATGAAGGAAGGTTTATGTCTGGAGCAGATTTGTTTAAATACTATATTTCCATGTGTGTACCTATGTATGCATGAATCTCTATTTATTTATCTATCAATGTCATGTGAATTCTAGACATGATACAATTAATAATCAAAATAGCTGAAAAAGATAACATTGCTGAGGTGATTAGTTAGTTAAATCATATATTTTTAGACTGAGATTTATGGTAGATTTTTTTCCCCTCCGGTGTCAGTTGGGAAAAAAGGTAGAGGATGAAAGGTATGAAGTTAAGTTATACCCTCCAGGTTTTTATTGCCTCCCACATCAATCACTTTGCTTATTCCATGTAATGGTGGCTGATACTGTAGCTTTAATTAATTTTTAAGATGCAGATCATCATTCCAGTGGAATGCACAGTGCTTATAAACTATCCTCTTTGTCAGAATAAATACAAAGTACTTACTATTTATGAAATAGTCTTACAAAATGTATGCAGATTAAATCCACTAAATTTTTCTATATGCAATGGCAGTCCATAAATTATGAAAAGCAAAACCATGGGATTTGGTACAGTGTGATTTTATAGTGAAGATGTGAATGTTTAATAAAATCTATGTTCTCAGGACACTTGTATAGAATCAAATTAGTCACCCTTTATGCAAGAATTTAACTAAAAATGTCATGTTAATTCTGACATGGTTTACACATAAATTATCTGAAATACACAAATTCTTGAAAATAGTGGCCTTTGGTGATGCCATTCACCTGTGCTTTGTGGCACTGTTTTGAATAAACTGAGTTAACCATTTTTGGGCAGGCTCTTTGTGTTCTTGCTCTTTCATGAACTACTTTTATAAGCACTTCCAAAGAAAATGGTGAGAAATCATGGTTAGGTTTTGACCAAGAGGGTATCTGTCTTAATTTCATTCTTCCAGAGTTAGAAAGATGGCTGTTTAGTGTGGGAAGTGTTAAGTTTGTGTGTCCCGCTATTAAATTGTCCTTGCTAATTTTAATAATCAAGCTTTTACTTACAGAGTAAATGTTGCTTGGGAAGGTTGAGGGATTTTCAGCAGTGGAACTTTCCTGATGGATGCTCAGAGATTGGGAAGCACTTAGATTAGCTAACCATTATTGGTTCTTCCCTCCCAGAACCCAAAGTATCTATTTAATACATCCTTAACATTGTTCACTCCTGCCAGAAAGTATTTCTGAATGTCTAATATGAACCTCCATTGCTGCAAACTACTGCCACTGCTTGCTTTTTCCACTGGACACAGACAATGGACTTACTCTCCTTTGCTTTTGTATGACTACTGTGGTTAAGA